ATTCCTGCTTTCCTCTAGTTCTGTGCTACAACTACTAACACTAAACTGTAACAGTGGTTACTAACTTCACCACTTTGACATATATTCACCAGGAGCTGGCTCTAGAACATAAAATACAGATTTCCCATGGACTACTAGGCCATATAATGAGTCATCATTAGCAACATGTCAAGTAAGAGAACTAGTGTGTACAGCTGCACAATGTACCCAAGAGGAGGACTTAGTTTCATTTGCCTAAAATTTCCATTCACAAACTCATCTTACTAAGACAAGTGGGAAAAGAACCTTTAAGCAAGAGAATTAGCAATTGGAAGAGTTAGTGGAAGTGACAGGATTTGGCTTCAGGGATGAAAACAGGTGCTCTGCCAGCACTTACATCAGAAACATGTTATTTCTAACTACTAAGGCAATGGAGGTCTGGAATACCTCCAGTTTGGGCAAGGAGTGAAAAAACTGAAAAGAAGGTGCTTAAAGATTATGCAAGAGATCCTGTGATGGTCACCTGCTCTGACACACAGTCACTTTGATGACACAAGTCTTTCCTGCCAGAGCATTTGCTAAATATGTCGTTGTCTTCTCCTCTCTCCAGATCTGCACGCTGCTCAAGTGCAAGAGCACAGACCTGAACACGTGTGGGCAGCCGGTGGAGACGGCGCAGACCAAGTTTGAGATGTTCTCCCTCAGTGGCACGTTTGGCACCAACTGCGTCTTTCCAGAAGTCTTGTACAGTGGGGTGCAGCTGGCCCCCGGGGAGTTTGAGGTAATGGGACACCCTGGAGACGTGTCGTGCTAGGTTCTCTGTGCGATAGTAATGGAATAAACTGTCTCAAAACAGCCAAAGTGAACTTGTTCATAGTGCATAATTAGATCTATTAAACTCCTTTTAATGAAGTCATTAATTTCAGTAAGAGATATGGCCTGACGTACCTTCTTCCTGTTGTGTCACATCTTTCTGAGTTCTTAGTACATTCATATTGATACTCCTCTAATCACGTCCTTCTCCTGCCTTTTCAATCAGGTATTGAGTGATGGGCGCCTGATAAGTAAGACAAGACCAACAAAACCAGTTGTCACTGTGACGCTTTTTGGACGATGGTATGAAAGAGACCCACAACCACCAGCCTTCCCATGATATTACCATAACTGAAGCTGTACACGATTAATCTTACATCTAAATGAGATCCTCTATTTGACAATACCAATTATGTTTCATATTTCCAATTGGACAAACTTATCTTTGTGCTTTGTTTAATAATAATGAAACAATATTATTTTGTTGTTCCCATTTATTGAGAAGCATTTATTTCTATGTCATAAGCTTATTAATATTTTATTAGTGCAAAATGGTAATTGTATTTCTTTCTCTGTTTTCTGGATTTTTATTTTTCTAGCCCTAGAAAACCTGCATTGTGGGCTAGAAGATACATTCTTATTAAAATACAATTACATATTTTGTAGTTGCAGATTATTATGAGACCGGTAAATAAAACAGTGAAAGATGTGATTTGTGGCAACTCTGTATGAAAAGCTCAGTAATGCTTTGTCTCTGATATATAACTACTTATGCTGACCTGTGAAAGTCTGCTCTTTTACCCCACGTACACATTTTTTTCCTATTTGTGTTCCTTTGGTTTTATTTGCTTTATGCCATTGATGCATGGCACGTGGTACATGGCAGCACAGAATAGTGCATCATGGAGACTGAGCAAGGACTACAGTCAAAGGGCCAACCCTGAAACAAAACCTGCCACTGCTTCTTGGTTAGAACTCAATGTGAATCATTATTTCTTTGAAATCTCTGTTGAAAAAAACTTGTAATTGACACCTCAAAATATTCTGCTTGCCAGTTATGAACAACAGCTTGTCAACCTCTGCTGTCTTCACTGGATGCTATGCAGTGCTGGGACTGTTTGGACCCAGTAAAGAAGTCACTGAGTGACCTGGTATCATATAGTAGCTCCTCCCTCCCATGTTCTCTGTTTCTTTCTGGTCATACAAAACAAACATATGTGAAATAAGCCTTGTCCTTTGTTCCTTCCTGATAATGCTGACTGGTGTTGCTCTGCAAATGAATTTGCTGGAGGGATTAGGGGCTTTAGATTTCTATTTAAGACCTGCTACTCCTGGTGAGAAGGCACTGCTCACATCTTCACTTCCTTTTCTCCCCCAGTGACCTGTGCTTTATGGTTGCTGCTGTTGGGCCCTAGGGACCTTTCTTCAGCATGTCAGTGTACAGAGATATGCATGTTTTGTGGCCGTGTCTTTAAGAATTGTCTGAGAGCTCTGTTAGTCTAATTTCTCTTTCTTTTCCTCCACACTGTCACCATTCCTGGTCTCAGCATGGTGCTCACCAGCTCCTCAGTCCTGTGTACTCCTGTTACAGAGCTGGTGAGACATGAGGAGTACAAATACGATCCAAACGCCAGCACTGGTTATCGCTGCTGAGCATCACATGACCTTTTATGTTTTCAAATGCAAATAGATACTCACATGTGACATAACATAGTGTCATGTCTAACCTAATGACAGGCTTATTTAAAGCTCCGAAGTATGTACTCTGACTCATGGAAGTTCAACATCACTGCTGCTAGAGCCATGGTCTCTTAAAACCTTATTCATTGTTGCAGTCAGTTACTGTCTGACCTGATCTCAGTTCAGCAAGGGACTGTCGAGTGTGATCCTCTTCCCATGGGTACAAACTCAGTGCAGACACTGTGCTTGTGCCCCCAGAACATGGTGGAAAATACCACAGCTCTCTCCCAGGGAAAGGGAAGCTATGGCACGCAAGAAGGACTCATCTTGCAAGGGAGAAGAGATTCAGTGGGCCAGTCTCAGAGCTGAGAGGTAGCTCCTTTGGGTTTGTTCACTGCTGATACCAGTCCTCTGGCTAAGGGAATGTGTGTGCAAGTAGTGCAATCCTGAATATGGTGAGTACCTTCAGTTCAGGATTTGGTTCAAGGCCATTGTACTTTCATTTATGTATATTTGTATGTTGATAATTTTCCTGTAGAAGGCTGGCATAAGTCATCATAGCACTAAATTCTTTTTGCTATAAAGATTGCATAACATTTATCATTGTGAAATATGTTATTGTGTGAAGTGAGTCAAGCATACAGAAAGTAATCCTGGGTGAGTCTACCCATTATCTGCATACCAACGCAGTCTGTATAAAGAAAAGACAGCATGTAACCACTGATACCACTAAACACTTCTTCGAAGGAAGCGCAGCAAAAAAAATTTTTTTTACCTAACAGTTGAGTCAGAACCAGAGAAGGTAAGAAACTTGGGTAACCAAGTGATTTTCGTGCCTATGCAGCTTTAGCTTCAATATTTCTGCGGAGGTGAACTGTAGATTTAAGAAAGCATGTTGCAGTAAGCAAACTATAGAAATAGTGGCTCCCATTCACGATGCTTCTCCAGCAGAGACCTTTGAGGACCAGAGATCTTCACAGGTCAGTTACTAAGTGGTGTGCTGATGGGTTTGCTCAGACAAGCAGCCTGCCTGGCAGGCTACTGGTCATGTGGAGCAGCTCTCAAAGGTCTAGCAAATCTGAGCTGGTGCTGCCCTGAGCTGGGGTGGCACAGGCTGTGTCTGTGTGGCAGCACCAAGCTCGGGGCTGGCC